ACACATGTAATCCATCCTACAGATGTATGAGCAAAAAGTCAGTACAACAGCTGACCCACCATCCCCCCCACTTGCACCCGGCATACTATACTATACAATGTGCCACACTTCACCTCTCGCATAAAGATGGTCATTAACTGAATCCCATAATTTTCTTCCCTGCCTCCCACGAAAGGCCATTTGCAACTTCAGGTGTGGCGGGATAATGGAGGATGATATTTCTATCCAACAATGCCAGGGGCAGACTCTGATCATTTTCTCTTCTGAAGGTTAAACTTAGATAACCTGCCTTTGGCATTTAATCAGCTACTTGTTAAATACTCTTTTGGTAATAAAATAATTTAAAATTTTATTGCTTCTCAAATAAGGCTCTTTTTAAATGGATTTAATGACTTTGTTAAGGCTTTGCTGAACGCATCCCTAGTTAGGCTAGTGTGTAAAAGCCTAATGGTAATGATATGCTTTACAGCTTGCAAAATCGCAATGATATTCATTAAAATGACTTTGATAATCACTGTGTGTAAATTAGAAATACCTGTCCTGTTGGCAGACATTTAAAGGGATAGTGCTCCACAGTACAGCATTCAGCACTATGGTTTCTGCAAAAAGAATACATATAAATATATGTGAGATATATCAGTGCCTGCAATTTAATAGACAATCCTCACATAATTTAGAGGTATCATTTATTAATATGTTTATAATGGCTAATAGCATTTATTCATTTTGGTTAATGTGAATGGCACTGTGGTTCAGTGGTTAGCACTGTCACCTCACAACAAGTAGGTCACTGGTTTGAGTCCCGGCTGGGCCAGGGGGCATTTCAGTGTGAAGATTGCATGTTCTACATGTGTTTGCGTGGGTTTCCTCTGGGTGCTCTGGTTTTGCCAAGAGTAAAAAAGACATGAATAAACAGAATATGTGAATTGGATAAACAAAATTGGCCGTAGTATTTGAGTTTGTGTGTGAATGCAAGAGTGTATGTGTTTTTCCTATTAATGAGTTGCTGCTGGAAGGGCATCCGCAGCAAAAAAAACCTATATGCCAGCAACTAGTTCTTTGCAACACTCACATGGTCGCCCAGTGAAGTTAAGCAGGGCTGCGCCCACCCAGATGGGAGACCACATGGGAAAGCTAGGTTGTTGCCGAAAGTGGTTAGTGCTGCCAGCAGGGGGGCTCAATCTGTCTGTGTGGGTCCTAACGACCCAATATATTGATGGGGACATCAATATAATTGGCTTTATGACTGTCTCCTATCCACCAATAAGCAGGTGTGTGGTCTGGCACAATATGGCTGCTTTCGCATCATCCAGGTGGATGCTACCCACTAGAAACCCCCCCCCCAAATGTGTAAAGAGCTTTGGAGGCAAGGAAAAAAATATATATATGCTAGTAATTGGCAGTTAATTTCACCGTGACAACCCCAGATAGGTCAGGGACTTAGCTAAAGGATAGTGAGTGTGTTAATGTGAATTTTATACATACATTTTTTCTACATTTTAGTCATTTAGCAGACATTTTTTTTTTTCAAAGTGACTTACAATTGAGGAGGTATTCAGCAATTCAACAAGAGGCAATACACACATACAAATACAGGCAACTGCACTTTAACATTTCATGGTTTTGATGTATGTCTGATTATGTGCACTAAATCAGTAAAAGCTAAATAATTGTTATTCACTAGTTTACTCACTCACTGACATTCCTTAGGCTTATTTCCTACTTTATCAGAGGACACCAAAACAGAATGAACCGCCAATTAAACCATTAATTAAGTTTATAACACCTAATTCTTAAAAAAACCTGATAATACAAATATATTGGTATGTGTAAAACTAATAGTAATTAATGCATTAGGTGAGTATTAGATGAACTAATAAAATGTACCAAATTATATCAATTAAATTAATAAAATGAATGAATGAATGAATTAAAATAGATTAATTTATTCAATTATAATACTCAAATTATGAGACACATAAATGAGCAATATATATTGTTTCATGAATGTATATTATTAAATGCTTAAAACAAATGTCAAGAATTCTGATTATAGATGTATGTAATTTAATAGATTTTGTCATAACATATAAATTTTAATTTATATAAACTGAAATGTAACATACTAACATAAATTGAATCATAGTATACATGGTAAAGTATACACATATTACGTCTATTCCAAAAAAAATATGTTTTACAACATTGATGACATTCTTGGTTAATTAGAGGCCACCAAATAAAACATACAAAACTATAAAAAAGAATAACCTTGCAGCATTTCCTTATGAGGACCTGATGGTCTGTCCTTCAGAGTCCAGATATGGTCATGCTTCCTGTCCACTGACATCCATATAAATGGCCTTATTATCTCCCATTGCAGTGGAGAACCTGGTCTGGTCTAGTCCAATGAATCACCAGCAAGTTCTCCTTTTCTGGCCAGGCTCCAGCTCTTGTTTTCTCATTAGGTTCCGGTGCCTGTTAATGACAAAGTAACAATAACTCACATGGATTAAAAGCCCAAATCTGCAGTTGAGAGACAGCATGAGCAACTAATGAGGTGCATTTGGGTAAGTTGTTGACACTGTTTTTCACAGCAAAGGAGGTATATCTTTAATTTACTAAAGCTATGACAACAGCCGAAAGAGCAAAGTCAAGCAGATGAAGATGAATACACCGCTTGGGTCCCCAGGAACTTCTGCATTAGTGCATGACAACCTAAAATGCTCTTGTCACCAATGAGCGTCACATTCGCCTGTGGGCACTTAGTGGGGGAATAAGAAGCCGTCAGGATGACAGATTGCCAGAGACCGGGACTTGTTGGGGAAAAATGAGAAATGAACATTTGGTGGCGGCAGCGCTGCACACGATGGGTGACAGTTATGTGATATGCTCATGTCAATTTAATAATTCTGTCACCGGACGAGAGGAAAAGAGAGAACGTATGAGAGAAGCCATTAACTTCATACATACTGGCCTCCATAGTGTGTGAATGGCTGTGTTAGATCAGGTCTTTGGAGATTTCAAAATAAAAAATAACATTGTTTTGGCTTAGGTTTGTGTGTCAGCCTTTAAAGAATGAACCACCATTCTGAGAATTTCCACAGGGATGTGACATGGAAGCTTCAATTTAATAGTCTCTACACCGGCCTGACAATATCTTCATTTAATTTTAATAAGCCACATAGTTTTTAAATTTCTCACAAAAAAAGTAAAAAAAGGAAACCAGAAAAATTAAAGGAACAAAAAAAATAGTAGAAGAAAGTAAAAAGTGGGGAAAAAAATAATGGGAAAGGATAAAAATAAGAAAAGTTGAGGAAAAGATTGACTCTAAACAATAATGAACAATGACAGGCCAGGAGCCAGCCTTGTGAAATGGGTGCTTCTTTTTTCTCAAAAAGTGGACCTTTTTGCCTCATTTAGGCTACTATTTAATTGTTGGATAATCAAAACAAACAAAAAAGTTTATTTAAAAATTAATGGATAACAACTATAGCCAAAATAGTATTTAAATTTATTTTAATATTGCGTTTGGTGCTTCATACCTTTTCATTGGTCATTTTTGTTTAAAGAATAAGGTCCAAGATTTAGAATAAAAGTTACTTGTAAAATATTTTCTCTATTTAAAAACAATACAGTAGCGAAATATGACTTTGCTTATGTCAGATTTTATGCTTGCTTGCACAGCTGGATGTTGAACTCATGAAAAAAACTATGCGTGCACTGGCCAAAACTGATTAGATGAAGTCACACTGAAGCAACAGCCAACAGAGGATTTCACTTGGTCTTTTTCGATGGGTTATTTTCACTATTTATGAGGGCATAGCAGTCAAAATAGGACAAATGAGCTTATAGGACAAATTCTGGACTTAAGTCAGTGAGAGGTGGGTCTTTCGTACCCCACTGTCTACGAGCCTGATTTATATGTATTTTCGTAATTCACGAAATAGCTTATAATAACATTTCTTATGATTTTGATACAATATATGTTTAGGGAGATATTAAGACTTAAAAAGAAAAAAGGAAAACCTCCTGAATAGCGAAAAAAACATTGCAAAAGAAAAAATTGTACTTTTAATGTCTTGACTTAAAAATTGCATTTTCAAACTACCATTATTACCTTTCCACAATGAAAATGGTTTCTACAGCTTTGATCATGTCAAATTTAAAACTTTTTAAGACCTTTTAGAGACCATTATGAATAAAATTTCAGACTTACACAAGGCTAAACCCCAAGGATTTTTATAATGGCCCAATTAAAACATTAAAAAAACATAAAAAACAAATGTTATCGTAAGGAAGATAATCAAGATATATCTGTTAGTAAATAAACTTTTGTTAAAACCTTTATTGAGATGGAATATTTCTATAGGTCAGTGAATTTAAGACTTTTTAAGGCCTAAAATTGTGTTTAGGACTTTTTAAGACCCCGCGGAAACCCTGCATAAAAGAAAAGCTTCAACCCGTTCTAACTCAGTTTGTCCAGCAGATGGACACAAAGAGCTTGCAGATAAACTCAGGTTTCTACTTCAGTCGAACTCAATGTATGATGCTCATTATAACACTAATTAAGTCACATCAATCTTCTGATAAATTACATAATCTATCATATATCTATCATGTATCTATCATAATCCTCATAAATTAATAAGACCCCAAAATATAGGAAACGAAAAGAGAAAAATGTAGTTTGAAATAAAAAAGTCACAGAAGCACAACACAACCAAAAACCGAGTGTATGATTGCTGCTAAATTAGCTTTTTGTTATGCCATAATTAAAATAGGCGTGCTCACTAAAAATACTCTTAGTTTTACCATAGTCACCATACTCATGAAGCACATTTGAGTATGCTATAACGTTACAGAAATTATTAAAACAACTTACCTGAAGTTTTAAACACCTGACTGTTTTCAACACTTATGTCCTAAATCCCGCTCAACAAGCGGTGACGTTGGGCGATACCATCTCCACAGGGACTTGAGGGAGAGAATGAAGGGTCGACACCATCACAGAGAGAGGAAGGGGTGACCAGATCGCAGTAAGAAATTATGGCATGCGGCCAGCGGCATTTTTACGGAGTCTGACCGCCAGTGACCAGCGGAGACGCGGCTCAATCGCGCATCTCGGAGATATGTACATGAACAGTGCGATCCTTGCCGAATTCCCTTGGAATATCTGAGTGATTTCACAATTAACTAACGGTGAGTTTGTTCTCGTCTTAAATGTGTTTATTGCATTGCCCGATTTATAATCAATGGATAGGGAAGATACATTTGCCATCCTTGGTACATCCGTTCTGAAACTACCGCTAGATACGCTATGATCGAGTAAAAGTAAATAATGATTATAATAAGGAATATATGGAGAATATTATATTTAAAGACTAAAAAGACTTTTTAATAAAAGTAATTTAGTATCATGTATGCTATAGTCTAACTTTTAGTTACTAATGTAACTTTTTAATTGCAAATTCAGTAATCTCATTCATTCAAATTTTAGTGAAATGCAAAGAAACACGTTATCATCGCATCATTTTATCGTCTATAATGTAATTAAAAGGCATCATTAATGCTTCAGATAATGCATATTGTATCTGTTTTGAAGTTGGTTTTATTAAATATTGCTTGCTCACAGTGCTAACTCGTCGCACCGAATAATGCCTTGTAGAGTTTTACATCGATCAAAATGTGATTCAATTTATTGTTCATAGGAAACTTTGTGTTTACCCTGCTTATAATGTTATTGCAATGTTACTCTAACATATTGTCTAATACAAATGACAGTGGCTACTTGTTGCTGTTCATATCTTGTACAAGTAATATGCTCTCTTTTATTGCGAAAGAGTGTAAGCTTGTTTTAAAGTATCCTCTGATTTGTCGCATTTCCCACCATTTCCCACAACAGACAACACAAACACACAGTTTATCTCTTCTTTTCTCTCAAGGACAAACGTTATCTATTGCTTTTGCTGTGAGTTTTCCTAAAATCTTTGTTAGTTTAGCCATAAATTATCCAACCGGGGAAAAACTATGGTGCACTTTTTTTTTTACTAAAAAACACAGCATTTTACTTATACTAAATGCAAAACTAGGACTGCACATACTGGAAAAAATACACATTGCATATTATTTTTTATTCTGCGAAATGAATACAATATTACTAGATGAGTTGAATAAATGTTTGTAAAGAATCTATAATTTTAGGTTGATTGGTAAGATTATGTAGGGGAGTGCATAAAATATAACAAACAATCTACAAGCATAGATAAATTCAACAAAGGAAAATATGCTTATTAAATAAACAGCGTTTTACTGTTTTTGGAAGAGTCGAAATGTACTCGGGTATACAGTGATTGAATAATCAAATGAAAAATAATACTGCATATAATCTTCTTTTTATAAACAATTCCTTAAAATTAATCGTTATTTATTTTTCAAAGTTACAAAATGTACATTTTATTATGTCTGAATGCTTTTAAAACCCTCACACACTCACAGGCCTTAAAAAAACACTTCCAAAATGATCAGTTATAATCCAGACTCAACATTGCTTATACTCGCAATGCGATTATTGTGAATGATCACATTGTGATATTGATGCTGAATCGAAATATTGTGCAGCCCTAATGCAAACATTTGAAAGCAAATCCACATAATACATACTACATTCACATACTGCAAACACTCCATGCTACAAGGACTCAATAATATAATAGTTACATCTATACACAGTTGAAGTCAGAATTATTAGCCCCCCTGAATTATTAGACCCCCTGTTTATTTTTTCCCCAATGTCTGTTTAACGGAGAGATTTTTTTCAACACATTTCTAAATATAATAGTTTTATTAACTCATATTTTTCAAGACATTTCTATACAGCTTAAAGTGACATTTAAAGGCTTAACTATGTTAATTAAGTTAACTAGGCACTAGTAGGCAAGTTAGGGTAATTAGGCAAGTTATTGTATATGATGGATTGTTCTGTAGACTATCAAAACAAAATAAAGCTTAAAGGGGATAATAATTTTGACTTTAAAAATGGTGTTTAAAAGAATTACAAGCTGCTTTTATTCTAGTCGAAATGAAGCAAATAAGACTTTCTCCAGAAGAAAAAATATTATCAGACATACTGTGAAAATTTCCTTGCTCTGTTAAACATTATTTGGGAAATATATTCAAAAAAGAAAAGAAAAATTCAAAAGGGGGCTAATAATTCTTACTTCAACTGTAACTGTTTACTTGTCCACTACAATTGATTTTGCACTATACACACTGCTAACCCCAAAATGATCTCTTCTGCACAATCTAATATTCAAACAATATATTTTGAACAATTTCATGTACAAATATATCTACTTTATTGTAGTTATGTACAGTTTTTTGTGCAGTCTCTGTTTAAGTTTGTGTAGTCAATTCTTTATGGTGATGATGATAGTATATTATAATCAGACATGGTTAACTTGTATAATCAATAGTTGTTTTTTCTTATACTGTATTGTTGTTGTATGTTTATGTTTAACTAGCATGTAGCACCCTGGTCCTGCAAGACACATTTCTTTCAGTTAAATGTCCACATATGTAGCATGACAACAAAGCTTGGTTTGACTTGACTTATAAGTAAATTTGCTTTAGTACAGGCTAGCTAGCTAAATTTCTGTTGGAAAATTGACTATTTTTTTTCGGGGTTGAAGGCTTAAGCAGTAAAAAAGAAATATGTCATTCGTCACTGCCTCATATGTGTCTAATCAATTTGACATTATGAATTTAAATGACCTTTTAATAATTATGCAAGAATTATGCATTCGGTCAAGCAGAAAAGACTTTCTCAAGTAGACATGCTACATCATCTACACAAATGACAATTTTTGCTGATTTATTTGAGTAGATGATTGAGTAGCATGTCTAAATTAGATTGCTTGTGTTTCTCTTTATTGAATGCACCATTTTTTCAGATTGTCATTATTGCATTTGAAAGAAATGAAGGTTTCTAATGTTTGATTGGTGGACTGATAGAGCATTCAATCAATATCAATTAATATAGTTGAGATTTCATATGATTTTGTAGGGAAACATATCTCTTTTTTGGACAACCAGGCTATACAAATCATACAAACGACATTTTTCTAATTAAAACAATCTTTTCTCCAAGACATGCAATAACTGCCATGAGTATTGGAAAAGCCACTAATGAATCATTAATCCCTTCCTTTATCACAATACAAAAGGCCTTTCAGCCTGCAAAAGAGCAAACTGAAGTAGTAATTATAGAAATTGCCAATAGCCTCAGGTGTTGATCTCAACAAGGGGCATCTTGAAACTCAGGATTTACTACTTACTTCAGCTGTCAGAAGATGACAGAGATTTGTTATTAAGGCCACGTGTTATAGATATGTCAGTGGGTTTTAAAATGTGTTTTTCAATTTAATATTCAAGATAAACTTTGTGGTAACTTGATAAAAATTTGAATTTTGTTGTTAAACTAAACGGCAACTTCTCACACCCCAAACATTCTTATCTAGTATCTTTTTATAACTGCTACACTAATCCCAATTCATGTTGCAAAGCAAGAGCAAAATACCTTGTTTTACTCTTGCATTTAAAAAAAACATTACTAAAATCTATTAGGAAAATCGTAAGGACACTACCTGCAAGTTAAGTCCTGTTCAAGTTTTCTGTCTGTCTGATAACAATTGCAGAGGTAGTCAAAATACATTTAACTGGGTTGCTTCCATAGTCTAGATTTTTATATGACCATATTCCAGTAGGCACATGACGTCAGATTGACGTTGTACCCCAACATGGTGGGACATTGCATTTTGATTGCTAATAAAAATCGGGTTGACATCAGAACTTAACGTCAGACATTGCATTTCGGTTACTTTCCAATGCAACCTAAAAACAACTAAATATCAGCAACTAATGATGTGACAGCTTGACGTTGTGTGGATGTTACCAATATAACATCTATCAGAAGTTGGATTTTGGTTACCAGATCTGACGAAGAAATGTCAGGATTTGACGTCAATGTAACCTTGGTTTAAGATGTTGGCTCAATGTTGGATTTTGATCACTTTCCAACACACCTAAAATCAACCAAATATCAACATTATTTCACGTTGTTATTGGACGTCAAAATAACATTGATGCTGGTAACCTAAATCTAACCTAATATTAATGTCTTATGATGTTGTGTGTCTGCTGGGATGTGTCTATCCACAAAAGATCACCTGCTCTTTATTTGTATTCATTAATTTATTAATTTTATTTTTGGCTTAGTCCCTTTATTAAACCGGGGTCGCCACAGCAGAATGAACTGGCAACTTATCCAACACATGTTTAACGCAGTTGATGGCCTTCGGGCTGCAACCCATCTCTGGGAAACATCCATGCACACTCATTCACACTCATACACTAAAAATAATTTAGCTTACCAAATTTACCTTTACAGCATGTCTTTGTACTGTGGGGGAAACCGGAGCACCCGGAGGAAACCCACGTGAACATGGGGGGAAAATGCAAACTCTACACAGAAACGCCAACTGACCCAACCAAGGCTCGAACCAGCGACCTTCTTGCTATGACGCGACAGCACTACCTACTGCACCACTGTGTCACCAAGTTTCTTTTCTTTAGTTGTTATTTATTTTATAGAAGTGTTGTTGAAGCACCCTAGCCAGATAAAATTCAAGCTTTGCCATCGGAAAAGATTTGTCTGGTTTGAATAATTTAAACGTATGTTAAAAACACAATTTTCTCTTCCTAGTGCTGATTTTAACACAATCCCAAACTTCAAGTTTTGCAGCTATCAGGGCAAATATGTTAGCTGCTGCTCTCCATATATTCTCGCAATGATATGCAAGTTTTACAAGTTCATTTAACAATAGATGGAGATGCGTTTTCCTCATCTACTTGTCATTTTATTGCCAAAGCACATCTTTATTACCGGCTGTAAACAGGGCCTTCCTGGATTTTTACACTATACGGCTGCAGCACTTAAGATTTTGGCGGGAACAGTTGGTGTTTTGGGCTGTGTGAGGAAACTGACAACATTCAGAGCCAGAAGGATATTTTTTCGAAGGACAGATGCTATTGGTAAATGTTTATGATAGCTTAATTAAGACCGGCCGTCTGTTTACAGACCCTGTGAATACTCATCAGTTTACTCATCAAGTTCATCAATTTAAGATGATAGTGTATACCAA